GGTAAAAAGGATTTTACGATGCGTTGGTAGTCTTAAATAGACTACAATTGGAAAATGAGACTTTTGTTTCGAAACATTTTTGGTTATCCAAGAAAGTAAAATTTCCAATTTTGCCTCTCGAATAAAATAAAACTGTGTATCTACTTGAAATTTTGTAAAATGTAGTGTAATTAAAAAATCATTATTTATTCCGGCATAAATTGAACAGTAATCATGTTAGAAAAATTCAAAATAAATGGCACAGCCTTGTTTGAAATTAATAGATTTTACAAAGCATAATTAGTCTTAAGCAGATCACAATTTGGAAAACGAGACTTTTGTTTCGAAACATTTTTCGTTATTCAGAAAAATAAAATGTATCTACAGTGGTAAAATTTCTAATTTTCCCCCACGATTTGGGTAAACCTGCATACCTGTTTGAAATTTTGTAAAATTTAGTGTAATTGAAAAAACATTATTTATTTCAGTATAAATTAAACAGTAATCGTATTACCATTTTAGCTTACATTTTAATTATAATCACTACAACACAACCCTCATGGATCTACCCTCAACACGGAATATATTAAACCCTCTTTTGATTTGGAATTGCTGTGTAGTTCATTATAAAATATGCAGACCCTTTTTATTCCTCCTCTGAAGTTAAATACATTGAAATTAAAAGCTACAATTTTCATCATATCGAACATCAAATTTTGCTCCAACGTGAGATAATTTAATAAAAATATGGGATGTTTCATCACCCCAACGTAAAATAAACAATTAGATAAAATTGCAAGTTTTGAACAAGACTCGGTATTACCAACATAATATCGAACGATTTCAAAATAAACTTTTTTTTAAACACCAGCGAAAAAAGAAATTCTTTGGCGGAGGCTTGGAACTAGCACCAAATATTGCAAAAAACTCACAAAATTACATTATGGGTAAAAAACTCATGTTTTACCCTACCCCTAATTTTTATTCCAAGAACAATTAAAGCAGAATGAAAATTAATAGACTTACATTATACGTGATACACTTTAATTGGATATATTATGGCGTTCGGTTATTAAACATGCATTCATAACCGCGTGTAGCGCAAAAAAGCACTTCTTTCATGTAGCCGACAAAGCGAACGATTACTTCTTTGAAATTGATCTGCCGTGGTACGCACTAATCTGCAACCACCTTTACGTGACCAACACCAGAGCGCCTTTAATTAGCTGCTTCGGTTTTATTGTTAAATCAGTATTCAATTTTTTTTTTTTTATTATTCGAATTAATTTACATCCAATAAGAGAAGTTCGATCAACGTTTTTAAAATGTTAGAATGAAAATCTATTGTTGAATTTTAAAACTGCTGTTTGTAAAAATCCATTTGCTCCCTCGGAACACGTTTTACCTTTTTTATGATCGCGTCATTATGTCTTTCGATATGGTATAATCAACGTCCGCTGTGATGTAGAGAATAATTATACGCTTCCTTGCCAATCACTATTACCATGGCCATCGTTATTTATAAAATTAACTCGAACCCTTCATTGAAGACTGCAGGAAGCCAGGAAGATTTTCAATTATTCTAAAACCACACTGTGGCTAACATTTAAACTGTTACTGATATTTTTAAAAAACAGTCCAGGAAACATCTTTGTAAATTAACTTTAATTTTTGTAAAACATATAACACTGTAATAGTTGCGATTTTTTAACAAACTCCAAAAAATTACATAGTAATTTTCTTGAAGTACAATTTAGAAATAGGAACATTTATCCAATTAAATAGACGATATATTCCAAATGATATGAGAACATATGCCTGCAGTTGGAGTCTGACGAACAGTGTATTAACAGAAAGAGAAGTTATCCAGAGTTTTCTACATTAAAAATTTTCTTTAGCATCCCCCTTTGGATTGAAAGACGTCTGCCCTAGGGGTTGCACCCTCTACTCTGGAAAGACTGAAGATGGTTGGAAACTTTGGAGACTCTTACATGGTTCGAGGCAATTCCACTGTGTTAGAAAAAAATAATTTTCCAGACCAAGCAGCCAAAAATATTAATGAACTTCCAAGAAAATCTTTCGTTCATACTATATTTTAATTTCTGTTATAACGTGACCAATGCCCAAACACAAATTATTTCATATCCGTGTTCGTATTCAAGAACTCGATCCGCGTACTGAAATTCTATTCATTACACCGCGTGAAAGATGCATTCGAGAACGCGTTTCGTTCAATTTTAGATAATTACGAGACTTTGGAAACGTTCGTTCATAGGTTGCGAATGGAACACGACTTTTTGGAATTTCTCGAGGCGCGAAAGAAATGGAAGAGCGCCCTGGAAACGAGCAGGTTCACGCAAATGCGCCGCGAATGGCGGATGTGTACAAATTCATGGTACAAGGAACGTCCATTCGCCGGGCGACCAAAGACAAAAGGTCCCCGCGATGGAGATCGGCCATCAAATAGGGATGTTTTCATTTCGATGCAAATGCGAAAACGTTGAGAATGAAAAAGGAAAACGATCGATCGGGCTGGCCTCTCGATACTCCGAAGGTCCCGGAAGGTCGGGTGAAAGGGCGTCGAGAGGAACGAAAATTCAAGAGATCGGCGCAATCGAAACAATCGTCGATAGTCGATACAACCGGCCATGCAATAACCCCCAACGCAATAATTGCTTCGCTTTCCCACCGTTCTATAGATACGTCTGAGCACTCGATTATTCCGGTAATACCCCCGAGCGAATTCGAAAAAACTTCCATCTGTTTCGAACGATAATAATATTTTTGCAAATATTGCAGTTTCCTACTTCACCGACCGAGTAAGTCAAATTTCTAATTTTCGACGAAAGCGTATCGTTAATGTGCAAGAGCAACTGAAATAGAACTGAATTTATTTGTTGACAGAATAAATCACGATTTCGAAACAAAAACTTCCCGATTGTACCAGTTACGGTGCGATCTGTACAGTATTTCGCTCTCTCCAAACTGTTTTGGTTCACTCCGACAAATTGTAAGGAAGCGCAGTCCTGTAATTATTGTCTCGCCAAGTGCATAATTATAGCTTATTAGTAATCTGTTGACGCGTCGTTAATGTTGATCCGAAGACAGTCGAACCGGTCTCCCTGCGAGCGACGCCGGTTTCAATGGCGATTTATTGCGCCTCTCGCGCGATACATATTCATCGTGTGTGTTTGGACGTCGACTATTCCGGCTAGTCCGGAAAACGCGTTACACACGAGCCTCGATTCGACAACGAACTTCGCTGCGGAACGGACAATGAGTCGCCAAGCTCGTGAAAATCGAACGACTCTGCCACTCGCGTAAATTACGAAAAAGATCATCAAATTTAATAGCGCGCAAGTTATGGCAAACTGATTTTAAATTTGACATTGATATTCACTCTAAACGAATATTACAGAAGTATTTATTCCTAACGATACATTATTTATATAGGAATAATCGTAATAATTTTCACATAGGAAAAATTTTAATGAGAGATTCTAGAGGCCAAAATAAGACGAAAATCAAGAATACCACTTTGTTGATGGAGGCTTCGTTAAAAAGTTATTAATGTTTAAAGTTCCGCCAGTACTGAATTTTTTTCTCGAAAATGCGCAGGATTTCGGGGGTATGTCTATTCACCAAAAATGATTGTAATTGACCCCCACAACCGACAATAATTTTTCCAGAACGATTTGAAATTTTTTTTTCCATCCAAAAATTTCACACCTTCTCGAATTTTTTTCTCGAAACTGTGCAGGATTTCCGTGGTATGACTATTCACCAAAAATGATTGTAATTGACCTCCAAAACCGACAATAATTTTTCCAGAATGATTTGAAAGTTTTTTTCCCCTCCAAAAATTTAACACCTTCTCGAATTTTTTTCTCGAAACTGCGCAGGATTTCCGTGGTATGTCTATTCACCAAAAATGATTGTAATTGACCCCCGCAACCGAAAATAATTTTTCCGGAACGATTTGAAATTTTTGAATTTAATTGTTAATAACTTTTTAACGAAGGCTCAGTCAAGAAATTGATATTCTTGATTTTCGCCTTATTTTGGCCTCTAGAATATCCCATTAAAATTTTTCCCAGGGTTGGCCTAACACCCTGTATAACCTATAATTCCTATTTTTGTCCAATCCGGATGAAAGTATATTTTTCGCGATTTTTGTTTCACGTTTATATTGTATCATACAATGGAATTTAAAGATCAATTTCCGTCAACGTTAACAACTACATTAATAACAATTCCGCTGTATCTTCGAACCTTCTCTTCTATTCTATTATTGTTCGCGCTTTCTTCACCCTATCTGACCTAGAAATGGGCGTTGGGAGATTACGTAATCCGACTCCGCTCGCCTGTACCAATACCAGGCAAGTGCCCGGAATTTGTGAATCGAAGTAACGTGAGAAAGAACGATTTTCGTTGCGGTGAGCCTATAGACACAACACGCACGGTATACTCGAAATCGCTTAAAATCCCCGTGGGCCGAACGATTAGAAAAACAAACGAATACTAATACAAAGGAAACATTCTCCGGTGGTTCGAGAGAAAAACGGTCTTCGTCTGTCAGCTTTGTTTACAGAGATATAAATACGGATATAAATACGGCAACTATCATGAAATACAGCGTGCGTGACATTCTCGAGGGCAATATACAGACTCGGGAGTTTCGTACGACTGAACGATGACAGACTCCCCCTACACTTGTTGTTATGCAACGAAGCGTGTGGACCCGGCTCGAGTGCCGGCTAGCGAAATGAGCGAAATAGCGTTCTCGTGGCGCAGAGCGCACGTGCATCTGCAAGGTTCACTGTACGAGAGACACTTTTGTACACACGGCCGCACATAACCTCCCGTCCCGCTAGAACCGTTCGTTCAATTTCACTCTTTTTCCCCCTCGTGTTTACCACGAAAACGCGATACGTCGCGCGTACGACAGAGATCTTGCGGTCGACGAAAAAAAAAAAAAGAAAAAAATAAGGCAGAAAGACGGTATTACGGCTCTCACTCACCGCAAACGTTCAGCCAGCCCTCGACGCGACAGGGATACTCCAGCTTCATCGTGAACTATCGCCGCCGAACACCAAGTACCGGAAACCTATTGCACAAATCCACTGGTCACATAAGAAAACGAAAAGGCAAACTGCCCGTAGTCAGGACGTGTTATCACTGTTAAACAACATCCGCGGCACACATTCTCCCGTGCATTCGCGCGACCCGACGACGACGAGACGGTATAAAATTTTAAAAACGGCACGAAGAGACACGCGCACGACGGACGATGCACGAAATCACGGGATAAATAAACGTCGTAATATTAAAACGGCCGTACGTCGCGAGCGTACCACACTGTCTGGCGTTGCGCGCGCAAACCGTCGACACGACCCACTCACACCGGCGAACAAATCGGTACTGACTGAACAAACCCTCTCGCGTCCTCGTTGAGCCGATCTTCCTTCTCCCTCTCTCTCGCCTGTCTCTGCCATCAGACCCTCTCGCGTTCAGGTGGTGCGCTCATCCCGTATATTTTTTCCATATAACTGATACGCCAATCTGGATTATGAGTTTTCTGAAACAATCAATTTATTGTTAACACGCGAGAGACGTCACGTTCGAATAGTTCACCGAACTGAACATAGGTTCGACTAACTTTAACCAAGTGAAACGATTATCAAACTAAGGGTTTCTCGAATCGATTTATCGAAAACGAATTTCGCAGCCGCCATTTTTACAACCTAAATCATGGTTAACATGGCGAACTTTAAATAAACAGAATAATGTTGTAAATGCATATTTATTAACATTATTTTTCATATTTAATTTTACCCAAATAAGAAAATCTTGATAATTCTTTATACTAAGCTTCCCTGTCTCGAAAAACTATTATTATTCAACGATGTTTCGTATCGTATTCCATGATCATGTACGATCAAACTCTTTAATATTATTATACAATTTCAATATATTAATTTGTGAGTACGAATACAAGTACACACTCTTGTAATACGCCAACATTACTATGTATTGATTTTATTGGAAAACTTTTATTCGTACCTACAATTTCTACGTATTCCATCACATATATGTACGTGCAGGAGATCATACATCGGGTCACTTGTAATTTTCTGTAAACAAAAAAGAGTCGATGTTCTTTAGGTTTACGTAACTTGTTCCAACGGTTGTAAAACAGTTAATTAAGTATACTTATATTATCGAGCGCGAGCCAGCACCATCGATTCGAACCGAGGAACGTTACTAGATGATCGCATATTACAAGATAATTCTGGAAATATCTTCGTCTTCGTTTGAAAGCGCCACCTGGCAACCAAGCCTTTAGTCAGTTACTAGCAAAATGGCGCTCAAGGCACAAGTCGGTCAAAGTGAGTAACGAAAAACAAAATTAATTTTTCGCGATGTTATTCGAATCTCGAAATATTTTCATACTGTAATATCAAAGCATTTGCGTAGATCCTTCTTACATGAAAAGCATGACGTCTAAACCACTGTCAGAATCCGTAACCTCCAAAGGGGCGTATGTGCTGTGATGATTTCATCGTTTACGAAGCGGCTGCTAGATAGAAACGTCATATTCATACTGCAGAAGCGTGTTATTCTCTAATTTTGTACTTTAAAGTTCATGTATTATCATACGAAATAGCAGCTGATTATCAATGTTCATGTTTGTCGAAATTTAAATCTGTTGATCATCACAAATTATTAAATTGACATTTTCTTTGAGTAAATATATAAACATGCACTATTGATTCCGTATAATTCGAGTTAGCGTAAGAATAAAAAATGAATTTTTCTGTGTCATGTAAAGATTGTTATAATTCTAAATATAATTCTTCTATGCTTTTACATTAAGTATTCATTACAACTGATGCCACGATTACCCTATACGTTCTTGAAGGAAACGAGTGTTCAGATCATCATTGTTTTCAAATGCAAAGTAGATTTTTTTATCGTGTAGAGTTAACATGTGTTTATAACGTTCGATTTTGCCCAAATGAAGAATACGAAAACGTAGTTCTGTACACGTTGTTTAACCTTCACGCTTGTTATACACGATTTTATGTTTATTGCATTTTTAATAGTTCCAATTACGTCTAGAAAGTTACTGTTTTATGTATCGTAGAATCATTGATCGCGTACAATACAATAATCCTCGCGCATCGCGGAATCCTGAAACGTCTTGCGGTCGATACCAGTCTGTATCGAATAACCCAATTAGGAAATGATTTTTTTCTTCAGAACGATTCCAACATCGCAATAGAATCCAATCGTCCGTGACGTTCGATTAACGAAGCCCTTTTGTACTTTAGCTTTATTTTAATGAATACGATTAAGGAATCAAGACGGTCTTTATATTTTTTTACTCGAACGCATTGTTTTCAACGGGGCCCCCTACTTTCACATACAAACCTGCCGTGGGTGACGTCATTGCTCCGTAAGAACGATCAATACGCGTTGAGAGCGCCAAAAGATTCAACATTCAATTTTAAATCGCGTTTAATTACAAACAAATCTGCACGTATATTATTGTAACAAATAATGCTACTTTACAACTATTATTAATCGATCGAATTACTCGACCAAGACTTTATAAAGCATCCGTTGTGCGCAACAGGAAGCGATTAGCAATTGAAAATAAAATAAAACTATAGATAGATTTAACTATAAAACGATGTGTATTACCATTCCTTTTCCATTTACAGAGATTATGAATGAGGTCATTAAACAGACAAAGGCCTCGGGAAGCGGATTGCAATGGCGTATTTTGGTAGTGGATCAATTGGCCATGAGGATGGTGTCGGCGTGCTGCAAAATGCACGATATCAGTGCCCAAGGCATTACTCTAGTCGAAGATATCAACAAGAAACGAGAACCCATACCCACCATGGAAGCGATCTATCTGATCACACCCTGCAATTCTTCCGTTCAAAAACTGATCGAAGACTTCAGCAATCCGACTAGAATTATTTACAAAATCGCCCACGTCTATTTCACAGAAGGTACCATCGTACCGTTTCGTTACGTTTCGTGTTTCTTGACTTACGGCGGACATTATCGCGAGATCTACCATCGAAAATCGGGAGCATGTTGTTTGCTCGGGCGAGCGTAGCTAAATTAACGCGATCACGCGCAAACTTAAACCTCTTTAATTTCACCAGCGAACGGCATTAATTTGGCTACGGTTGCAACAGTACATTCATGTTCCTTGTATACGTATAGGCAATCCCGACCTCCTGTTTCTTTTCTTTTTTTTACCAAACGTACGTTCAAGGGGCAGAATTTTTGGAAATAAGAAACTAAAGATTATACAAAAACTGGCGGATCAGTATTTAAGATCTGAATAGTAAACGCGAGATGCTAAGTATATCTATTTGCAGCGTGTCCCGATGAGTTGTTCAAAGACTTGTGTCACTCGCTGGTAGCTAAACGCATAAAGACACTAAAAGAGATCAACATCGCTTTCATACCGTACGAAGAACAGGTAAAGCAATGGACGCTCTGATAATCGAGCAAACGTCTCATCATTTTACGTGTTTCGTGGTGACGGGCTCACATTCACATACACACATACACACACACATCGTGTACAACACACCGATCTATCTCCCACCTTTACGACATCTTGATTCACGAACCTACATATTTCGATTTCTCAGCCAGCGATCGTGACAATGTTAACGCAATTATTTGACGCCTCTCCCTACTCCTAAATTTTGTACAGTACTCACCATGTAAGCACGTACTAACGACGGAATGCATTCATGCTTGTTACACGACCAGTGTGTCCAGAGGAGCTCTTCAATGAAATCTGCAAGTCTCTCGCCGCTAAAAAGATCAAAACCCTCAAAGAGATCAACATCGCTTTCCTGCCTTACGAATCGCAGGTGACGATCAAAGAAAAAAAAAACAAAAAAAACCGAAAAATCGTAATCGCTAGAAGTAGTTGGCAAATCGCAATCGTTACTTTCAATTTTCTTAGTTCCGATAAGCAGAAACCGCGAACTCCTCTGTATTGTTCTTTTTTCTCAGTTGTTTGTTTTACGGTGTAGAAAATAGGCGAAAGACTTCTGTAAATACCTTACATACGTGTTCCTGCGTTTTCCTTTTGCGTTCAGACTTTCGTTTCTGGCATGCGATTTTTTGTATCTTGTTACTTCTCGTAATTCTTGTCAACTATATTTTACATTTATCGACACGTACGTGTATTCCGCTATTATTCGCACCGCTTGAACTCTGAAAGTATAATAGACATTTGTAAAACGATGTTTTGCGAGAATAACGCTGAAACGAACACCGTGATTAAACAGGTATTCTCCTTGGACTCGTGCGAAACGTTTCATTGCTTTTATAATGCTTCCTTCGCCAACTTGAGGACAGCCAACATGGAAAGAATAGCAGAACAGATAGCTACGCTCTGTGCCACTCTTGGAGAGTATCCATCGGTCAGATACCGAAGGTACGACTATATTCTATTTTATCACCGTGCTTTATGGCTAGATTAGATATTATATCTGTTTTTTAATTCTCAATAGCGACTTCGACCGAAACGTGGAGTTAGCGCACATGGTCCAACAGAAATTGGATGCTTACAAAGCGGATGAACCGACGATGGGAGAAGGACCAGAGAAAGCGCGTTCCCAACTACTTATTTTAGATAGAGGATTTGACTGTGTCTCTCCACTGTTGCACGAGTTGACACTACAAGCTATGGCATATGATTTGCTAGACATCGAGAATGATGTTTACAAGTAAATACTACATGTACACAAATGATTCTGGTTTGAAACAATATTTTAATACGTAATAATGTGTTCCAGGTTCGAAGCGTCAGCGGGTCAGCAAAAGGAAGTATTATTGGATGAGAATGATGACTTGTGGGTGGATCTTAGACATCAGCATATTGCTGTAGTTTCACAGTAAGTTCGAGTGTTTGAGAAACTAGCTCTAAGAAGATTGAATTTCAATGTATGAATCATTTCTTTTTAGAAACGTTACCAAAAATTTAAAGAAGTTCACGGAATCGAAGAGAATGCCGCAAGGGGACAAACAAAGTATGAGAGACCTTTCGCAGATGATCAAGAAAATGCCACAATATCAGAAAGAATTGAGCAAATACGCGACGCATTTGCAATTGGCGGAAGATTGTATGAAACGTTATCAAGGAAATGTGGATAAGCTCTGCAAAGTGGAACAAGTACGTGATACTTGTTCTGTATTGCTGGTTTTCTGTATCGTGATATTAACTACAACGTAGAATTAAATATAACGTGCACTCACGTGTTACGTTTTACTAGGATTTGGCAATGGGTACGGACGCCGAGGGCGAGCGTATCAAAGATCAAATGAAAAACATTACGCCAATTTTACTCGATCAGACCGTGCATCATTTAGACAAGCTACGAATCGTAGCCTTGTACGTTATTAGTAAAAACGGCATTACCGAAGAAAATCTTAACCGATTGGTTCACCATGCCCAAATATCTCCTGATGACAAACAAACCATAGTAAATATGGCGAATCTTGGTATCAATATTGTTGTGGATGTAAGTATAAACAATTGTTATATCAATTCCCTAAATAGATTCTATCTACGCTTCTATTTTATTATTATTATAATTACGGTCTTACTTCCACAGGGTAGCAACCGTAAAAAATTGTACACCGTACAACGTAAAGAAAGAATTACAGAACAAACTTACCAAATGAGTCGCTGGACACCGATTATGAAAGACATCATGGAAGACGCCATCGAAGACAAACTCGACTCTAAACATTTTCCATTTTTGGCAGGACGTGCAGCAAGTTCGGGATATCATGCTCCAACCAGGTAAAACAAAGTCTTGTCCAAGGCTTTTCTATCCTACAGACAGAATAGACATCTTTTTAGGACCCGTATAAGCTCAAACGTTTTCATATACATATTTATAATATATTATCATCCATTTTCAGTGCACGATACGGGCATTGGCACAAGGATAAAGGTCAACAAACCATTAAGAACGTACCGCGCTTAATTGTCTTCGTAGTCGGTGGAGTTTGCTTCTCCGAGGTACGATGTGCGTACGAAGTCACAAATGCTTTGAAAAATTGGGAAGTAATAATTGGTAAGTGTGCATTACAAAATATTCCTTAATCATAAAATCGTATATTACTCTAATCTATTTACGTATTACTTTTCTTCAGGTTCGTCACATATAATAACACCCAAATCCTTCTTAGACGATTTGAGTAAACTTCACGTATAAAGAAATCTTTTTTTGTGTAAACAAAATAAAAACACATTCCCGTATTCCTAATATGCCATTAGCTTTGGCTTCATCAGTAATACCAGCTACAAGAAACTCTGTGGGCGATCTCGATTATGGAATTAAAGTACTAAATAGGGAACACACAGTCAATTGTTTAGGTCGCACCGCCATTTAGCGACTAATTAAGAAATTTGGGAATATAATATTATAAATATCCAAAGTTGACCGAAATATACACGGTGCTAGAGGGAGAATATATCCGGTATTAAGTGCCTCCTCGATTAAAACGTTAATAAAGAACGAATAAATATGTTGGCAATACTGATGTAGATCATACGGAAGTCCATAATGGTAATTTAGGCTGGAGAATGACCTAACTAAGATATAATACGTTTCACTATGCCAAGCCGCTCCTTTGTTAATAATAAGGGGCAGGTTAGCAAAGGAATTTGATGTATTGTAGAGGAGAATCGTGATATATGTGTAAATTTCTCGTTATGTCCTGTTTTAAAAAAAGCTGACAGATCTTTGTACTGTCTTGAAGTTTTCATTTTCAGTTCCATTCACAGTATCAGTAATACGTATAAAACTCACGTGAAAAAGTATAAATATCATGCATAACACGATTATATAAGCTTCAATCATATCAACTTCAATAAAAACGAGATGTGAGCATTGATATTTATTACTTGCTACTTTGTTGTTTAAATATTACAGTTTATAATAAAATGATAAATATACAATAACTTATTTATTATATTTTTGTTATATGATCGATTTGTTGTGCAAATGTTGCTTTTAATTTATCACAAAGAGCTGTATTTACATTCATCTGAAAAATGTCCAACTTCTAAAAACTTACGCCTGTTTAACTAAAAGTGAAATCTTTACTGTACGTTATATGTCGATAAGTACTTACATGTTGAAATTTGTACTTCACGTAAGAAGTAATTGTAGATCGCTGTCGATCGGTAGAAGTTAATCTGTTGATTACTCATAATAATTATTGATGTGCGTTAATATTGCGATTACTTAGCGACGAAATTATTACAAAGTTTACGGTATTAATGATATATAATATATTATATGAACATATATGTATCTAGTTTGTAGCCTAAACAAAATGTTCTGCTTATAAAAGCCTACAATTCGCTCCAATTGTGTCTTCGTTTTAATAAATACCATACCACGTAAAATAAATATGTTTTGGCGCGCAAAATGTCAGATATCAGAATCGAAATGAATTTATGTTGAAAATATGTCATATGAAGTTACGTTTCAGTCCAAAGGAATTTACAAATCATCCGAGACTAAGATTCTTCACGAGGCTCAGCAAGACTAATTCATATTAGACAATGTGATTTAAAGGGTAAAATTTTATTTAACCTACAAGATGTCGGATTACGTTTACGGTAGTAAAAACAATTTTAAAGGGAATAAGATCTTCATGATATTAATGAATGTTTACTCATACAGGTTTTTGATTTTCACCCGAATGTGATTTCCTACGGAACAGTACATATACCGTATTCGTGAAAGTACATAAGTGGGGCAGTTCGATTACAGTTGTATAAAGGAAATAGTGAGTATTAATAAACAGACTTTGTTATATGAACTAATTATTTCGATCTTATAGCATCAGTACAACGAGATTGGTTTTCATGGTCATGCAATGCAGGGAGGATTAGACTTTGCAAACGGGGGTGGATTAATACGCGCGCAGGCTCACGGGTTGAAAAAATATTATCGTTTCAAAAACCAGTGTGATGTTTAAATTAACACCATAAGATATATTAAAATACATCAAAGCTACATAATATTTCGTAAATGCAATATATTACTTAAAATTCGTAGAGAAGAACGTGATTTGTATGTAAGATTATTGGCAAAATAAAGAAATTTGAATTACACGTGGCATACTAGAATGAAAATAATTTTTCTAGGATTTCGTATATTAATTTTAATATATTTTTATTTCATGTTAATTAAATCAGTATCGTATATCTTTACACGTGAACTGTCCTAAAACAGGATGTGGTTTAATGAAAAACTACCAGCACAGTTACTTTCAATTAGTTATTAATAATTAAACCCTTAAAATAATTACTATAGTCGTAGAGATTATAATAACGTATAATATGCATTGTTTTATCTGCATTAATAGTATACACAATGATGGTTCTTAGTTTTTCTAATAGATCCGCAACATAAAAGAAAACGCCAAACATGAGACAATAATGTTTCAGTTAGTATCTCTTCTATCGATGACTATATAATACTCTCACTCTATCCCATTTTCTCTGTCTCTCTCGCTCTTTATTTATATATTTATATCTTTATATATATTTATATATATAATATATATAATATTCATTCATATAATATATATATTATATACATACATATACGTATATAACATGCAAAATTACAAACTAAGAAAGGTAATTCTGTATGCATGTATAATTAATCTGCAATAACTCTTGTATTCACATTTACTTCGTAACGTTAATTCTGAATATGTAATAAACGTTTTTTTTTTTTCTTACTTTTAATAACTAATCATAGTACAGACAACTTAGTTCAATTTGACATTGTTAAGTAACTCGAGAATCGAATACAACATTCGTATGAACGTTTTGCGTATTTTAAGTTTACGATTATTGAATGAAAATTTTTTAATTTAAACAAGAGTTCTTTAGAAAATACTAACGATTTGGATCCTGATTAATACTGCAATAACGTTAAATTACACGAACGTTTAATATGTACTTTATCTATACGAGATGCATTTCGTAGAAAAGTCGTGTAAAAGATTCAATACTTTGTTTATTTCATTTGTTTTCGAACAACGTGGATTACACAAATAAAGGAAAGAATGTAAGGTTTAGTTTAAACAGTAATGGTGCAGTGGAAATCAAGGGTAAGCGTGCGAACAAACTTGGCCCAGTAAATGTTCTCTCTTACTTAACAACATCAAGCATTTCTTTATTTTAGCCATTTATTCTTCATTTCATTATTATTTATGTACAACCAGCTTAATGTCTTGCTATCGTTAGTCGTAATAAGTCTACTAAAACTCGTGTGCCATTGGAGATGATGTGCGCCCGTGGGAACTTATATAAAAAATTATTTTTTGATACAACGGAGTGATTTTGGTGTTACTTACGAATTATTACGTCTTTACCTAGTAACTTACACTGAGATCTAGTAGGTTATACAATCTATCGGCCTCCCTTAAATATTACAAACCTTATCACATATATAGAGGTGTGTATTAGTACTTATTATTTTTTTATACATAGATATTCTGTATTCTGTTTAAATTGCTGCCAATGATTTTTTTTTTTCGCGTATTTACAATTACAAACCACGTATTATACAATCATAATACCTAAGCACATACATTCTCCTTTCTCACTTTCATTCTCACTTTCCATCATCTTCTCGTTCTCTCCTTCGAACTCATTCTTCGTTAATTCTCTCTTTTTTTAAATAGTTTTTTTTTTTTTCATTTTAGAATTCGTGTCATTGTTGAGCTCGTTACTTCAATACGGCGCAATGTTTTAATCAGAGAAATTCTTTGAAACATTCGAAGACACTTGCGATTGGTCAGTCTAACGGTACAATACAGATAAAATGAAGTAAAAGTAACTAGAAGCATTGTATCGTTCCTTATTTAGTAGAAATACCTTAATATCTGCCACGAATTGAAATTTTTTCTTTTTTTTTTTTAATCAGTATCTATACTCAGGACACGAAGAATTACACCGATAAAAGAATAGATTAAGAATATAATTAAAAGTGATCGCTGAAAGATAAATATGTGCCGATCTTGCGTGAAAATCCTCAAACTTCAATGTAACAGAATAATTTTCCCTCTGTTGACGATCGTACGCCACGTTACGCGATAATTCGTGACAGAGTATATTAATCCGTTCCCTCTAATGCAATATTTTAACGTTCGTATTAAACTTCGATATACATTTTCTGCTTCTGCCAATATTTCGTGTTGTACATGAAATTATATTACAAAGTAAATATCGCACACGAATACGAACTATAGCGGAATTTGTGATCGTGTATCCCCAGATACACCGTTCCTCGGGAATTTTGCTCGACTACCGTCGACCGATGTTATCAAACCGGAAACAATACGGTCCCATACGCGCTCCGATTTAAACATAATTCAACATCTTTTCTGCGGGACGATGATTCCATTGCCCCTCGAAACACCGTTTTACACCGAAAGAACACTCCGGATTTACAAGAACAAAAGACACGATCGTTCCTCGTGCTTCTCCCTCGTTTTTACATTAAACGTGACTCCCCCCTCCCAGCGAGGAATCGTCTTACCACATTAAGTGCATACAACAACGATTAACACACGGATGACTAAAATCATTGTACATGCTAAGGCGCGAACACTGATATCGCAGCGAATAGATTGCTAAAGGTCGATAACCAAGATTTATCGTAAATCTTGAATTTTGATTAAGGAATTCCCAGGAATGGAAACCTGGTACATTAAATAAAAGGTAGGATAGTCTAGTGTATTGCTAGAATTAGTGTGACGATCACCGAGCACAAGATCGTACTGATATGAAAGCGCACGCAACATCCGATAACAAAGAGCATCCCCGCCGGATCAGCGGGCAATGCTGCTGTTGTTGTCGTCGTCGAGGTCTCCTCGATCATCTCCGATGCACTTAACGTAAACAGGATCGACGAACAAACGCCATGAACGCCGTGAAACTCGTTCTTCTGTCCGCGTTACACGCGCCAAGGCCGAGTCTCGTTTCGGAAACCTCTTGCGAGTCTTGTTTCCCCGCGGAGTGCTTCGAATCCGTTGCAAACAAGACGAACGTCGCACGAACAATATTTCGAATATAATTCGCGACACGGTTCTTTTTTTTTCCAACCAATACGTTCCGTCCGATGGCTCGTCACGTAATCGATACATTTTTTCCACTTAGAAATTAAGATACTCTTCGTCGATCGCAATTTATATATAATTAGAGAATCATACAACACGCACACACACGATCGATTACATTATTCTACACAGCGTGCGTAACGCTGAACGTTTATGATCTTCGAGCATCGATACACGCGCCTTCCCGTTCGTTATAATCCAGACGTAATTTTTCCGTACGTCGGCTCCGTGTACATGGTCGGAGGAAGCGCTCAAAGGAACCTGAATAACCATACTGAACAAATGCGATGCGATAGAATCCGGGAATCTAAGCACAGGTGTATACAGTGTAATGTCGTTGTACGCGGTGATCTTTCGGCAAGGGGCTCGACAGCATTCGAGCATTATGTCAAATCGTTCGGGTTCTTTTCTCAGCGAGTTGTTTTGTGAAGATATTTACATCGAACAACGGCGGGAAAGAAGGGCAAATCTCGCGATGATATTTCACTTCGAAGCCAAGGGGTACGATATCGTCGTGATAGATCGGGTTGAGAAAAATAAACGCAGAATAAATAAAATTAACCGCTATGCATTTACAATCTATCATCAATATCGCACACGCTTCGTGTCTTTTCCGGCGAAGCTAAAACATCGATCCTGTACGACGAAAACAAATTCGGTTCGATGATCATACGCACATAGTGTACCCAAATTACGTATACATTTTCCAAATATTATTCAACGCATCAGCATCGTGTCGGCAGTTGTAAATCATTTGATCTAGTATCACGTAGAAAGGAACATATAATATTTTGTGACTCGTGTATTACTTTTGAATGAGGCAAAAATGTGATCGAACCTATCTCAATGCCATAAATTATTCTTGCGCCCAGCTTTGGCGCGTTCCTTTATTTCCCTGAACAAAACTGACGTTCGTTACGCTACGATAAAGAAAGACATCATGCAAGTTTCTGTAGTGGCTTTTTAGAAAAATAAAGTTGCATTTAACGAAATAATTTAATAATTACAATATTAATTACTATAATATACCTCACTGAGTAACTCTCGTCACCAGCAATGTCTGTGTCGCCTATAACCACTACTGTAATTTCTACAAATTTGAAATACTTTTTTTTTTCAAAATTAACCGCAATATAATAATACATAATAAATTCAAATTTTAATTAGCATTTGTTTTTTTTTTACAATAAAATATCATTTTTTGTACTTTTTTTTAGCCGATTGAATCTTTTTTTTTTTTTATATATTCAAGGTGCACTTTAATGCTCGCGTAATAATTCTACACCGATACGGAAACGATTTAATTTGTGTAAAATTGCACGCTTATTGTACACCACATGTGACGTCTTGAAATTTATATTTTAATAATGTTCCTCCAATGCTTTAGTACTTCCTTAATGGATCCCTTTTTTGCTAACTCACTTTATCGAATAAGTAAATATAATCCTCTTCTAGATAATTTTACGGGCCGATATCATGTCACGTTTTTCTTTTCCACGATCCAAAAGCATACCAAGAATTAGGTACGTATGTCTGATCTGATCTAATGGTTGGTAGGATCGAAACTACATCATTCTACAATCACCTCACCTTTACTCGTAATAATTGACGACTTTGTTCTAAGGTGTGTTTACAAATATTTTTCAAATCAACCGATTTGCCCAATCTGACTCCTAAGAAAGGTCACAGACGTCGCGATAAGCCGTACGATTGGTCGTACACATCAAGTACACGAAGTTTCTCAAGGGATCCTGATAGCAGACCCGCTAAGACTCATATCTTAGACAAACTGACTCACATATTATAAAGTAACATTCGTTATTTGCGAATAATGGCAGTCCAGGTGTACGATATTAAAAATCTTGAATTTAATGATATTCCATCCTCGGTGCGCTATGCAGCACGCTATGCGAATCATTCATTTTATTTGGTACTTTTCTCTTTTCCGTACAAGGATGATTACTTGTGTGAGGCGCATCGACGACGTCCTACCTACTCTCGATAGAGCTGATATGAAGGTAGAATATGAACCGTCGTCTCCAATAAGTCCGCCAGGACCACCATGTGGTTTAGATAATCATTCTATGTCGACACAAGTTACTCCAGCAGAGCTTAGTACTTTTGATCACGGAGTTACCGAAGTTTCATCTAACAAAGACAATCTCTCGAGATAAACCAACATCATGTAAAACTTTTGATAACTATCTTCATTTGATATCATTAATAATTGAGCGGTAACAGCAAAAGTATCCAAATGCTCAGTTTATCGAACCAATTATTGGTTTTAAACATCGTCAACGTTCTCCAACACCTAAGAGCCACAAAAAGGCGAAATTCGAAGATTTTGACGAAACTATAAATGTTTAGCGTTGTATAATTTTAGTCGCTAATAATTACCAGAGTTACAACGAGCAGCGCCATACTGTCGTACGAGATGTTGTACAACAATCTTATCCACTTTAAAATCATCGTCTCAACAATGATATAAAACAGATTGTACAATTTATCGTGCAATAAATCGTTACGTCTGCGACCCCACAAATCTGATAACTAACAGTCATACGGGCTATCGTGATGATCATTACGATTAAATTCACCAATGTGTATGTTTGCATTAGGTATATTTGTCTATATTATTGACTTAACAAGCCTACCTATTTCGTGATTACAAATAGCGTATATTCATAATCGAGAAAAAAATCTGCAATGAAATTATTAGTAATACCTAATAATTATATATATTATTGGCAGAAACACTGTTTATGTAATCCTACCAACGATTAATGACTGAATGTGGAAAAATATAAAACTTAACTAAATGTACACAACTTTTACACTCCCCCACGCTCTCTTTCATTATCACACATTCACTGATCACACGCGACACTCTCGCTTCCTTTCTTTCTTTCACTTATCTTCTGCGTAATATTTTTTGTTTTGTTTCCAAATTTACATAAAGTACAAACTTATGAAAACCGGAAAAATGTTAACACAATAGTCAGTGTAGCATTTTCAAAATGTCGTGTAAGTATTTATCTAATTACATGGTCACACTTAGGTGTCCGTCGATTACACACAATCAGTTCTGAGTTATTTGTTAAACTGTCTCTTTGAAGTCCGAACTCACGGACAATGAAATTAGGATATTTCCGTTGGAATGTCCCAACCCGCACCACCAGTTAGTTTTCTCCTTGTCACACCGACTGTTTATCCGGTTTACCGTTACTTTTATTATCATTATCATTTATCATTGTTTGTTATTGACTGACGTATATATTAATACGTTTCTGTGGTACCGTCCAGCGCCAAACATTCATCCAAGTCCTGCCCGGTTTCAGTGGATTTATAAAGAGCAGCAAATAACATTATAACGATTCCTCAAACGCGTCCATCAAATCTCTTTGCATGTTCATGTCTATTCGCCCAGCCATCTGAAATAATAAATACACCCATTCTTGCCGAATCCGCCCTCGAAAAGATGTAGACTGAGAAAACACGCGCGAAACATCTTTTTCTTTGATTCATAAATAAATCCTAATAGTGTTATATCTCGTCACAAAACTGATTACTTTCAATTCGAATTCTAATATATTAGGTTAGTCGATAAGTCTGTGAAATGTTCGCTTGGCAGATGGCAAAGGGTTGTTCGACAAAATGGTGCTGGTATCACTGAAGAAATACTTCTTATTACCCGAGAGCTTTACTCTTGTTTTACGTTTAAAAATCCACAAAAACTTATGACTAATCCAATATTTATGACAGACCTTTGATCCAAGAGACGTATCGCGGAGAAAAAAAATATGAGAAACTTGCGAGAAAAGAAAGTTACGCTAACACTCACCGCTTCGCGACGCCGTCGTTCTTGCTCCCGTAACCTCTGACGTTCCCTTTCGGCTGCAGCCTTGTCTTGACTGGATGAATGACTTGGACTACTGCTGTCGGTATCGACAATGGCCTTAACTTCTTCTGTCCTCGATGTAGGAGTCAAGACATTCCCTTGCTGATCACCGACATGCGACGTTTTCCTGACTTTGTCCAACGCGTCCTCCTCTTCCCGCTCTCTTCTTCTTTCGCTCTCCTGTCGCAAACGCTCCCTTTCCGCCTGTTCTTTCTGTTGTCTACGCATTTCTTGTTGTTCCAACAGAGCTCTTTGCTATAGGGCATAAAACGTTTATATGCATCGCTGGTATATGGCACACCTAAACGAAGTATAAATACAGCGAGTCTTCAAATTACGGCGGATTCATAGCGAGGTTTTAATTTAGTAAAAATTCAAATAGAAACGAAACATTATTTGTACTAACCCTATCTTGTTTCTCCTTCGCCTGTTTTTTGAATGCTTGAAACGAATCACGAGCAGCACTCTTCATACTACAACCTGCTGCAGATTGGGGACTCGATGCTTGAGCCAGGGACGACCACGATGAGGCATTTTTTACATTTTGTTCTACAGTCTGTGCAAGTTTCAAGGACAAATGAAAAAATGAAAAACTCGTTACATAAAAATAAGAAATTATATTACGCGAACGAGCCTCGAACGTCTTTAAAAAGTTGCATAAATATAAAATTACCGTCGCCTCTTAAGCAGTTATTTTCCTACCTTATTTTTGAAGGCTGATGCAAAATTCGACGCGGGATTTTTCGAGTCTGGCGGCGTCATCTTTTTTTCAGACATAAGCTGCGAACTTGAATGATTCCCCATTGGTGGCATTCCCAGTGTACTCATTTCTGCAAAAAGAGCTCCGGCTAGAGCAACGGCATTACATATTTGATTAGTAAGCAGTTATATAGCAGTTTAAAATGTGAACAGTATAAAGTACAGGTGCAAAGCATAATAGAGAATGATCAAACTGAGAAGCATTAGTTAAAAATTTGCCCACAATGCAAGACGGTAAAGGCATTTCTTAGACGGATATGTTAGTATACTATTTTAGTATAAATGTAGGTATCAATTCTTAATAAGGAATGGGGGTAGTTAGAAGTAACTAAGTAACGTTAGATATGGTAAACTAAATTTAAAAATGAAATTTGCAATTCATTTATAGCAATGTATATAGTGCTCTTTATAATGCATGCATTGAATGTAAGCCAACGTCAAACGTACCATCCATGGGCTTTTGATCCATTTGTGATTGCGAAATAGATAGTGGTTTCTCTTCTTTCTTTATTGGCATTTGAGATATTTGCATTGGCATAGAGACGATAGGTAGGGGATCAAAAATTGAACCCATTCCTCCCATATTTATTCCCATGTTAAGTCCAGGCATGCCATTATTATTGAACATATTAGGTGGAGAATTCTCGCGCTTGATATTAGAGAATCCGTTGGAATGCTGTTGCGACATTGTAGCATTATGCGAATTTTGTATACTCGTCAATTGCGAAGTAGTGTTTATCATGTTCTCCAACTGACTGTGCATCGATATATGCGTTGCCAATCCTTGTGGTAAATTCATATTGAGATTGGCCATAGTTATGTTTCCCAAATTTAAGTTGGACGCCATACCTGACGGCATCATATTCACGGGAGCTTTTACATCCGACAGTAAATTCAAATTGGTATTATTGGTTGTTGTGTGTGGTGCTTGAATCATTGGTATGTGCGATTCTTTTTTTACGGACATCGTTTGTTCCAACGATGATTGCGTAGTAGGCACAAGGGCTGTACAGAAAATCGCTATTATTGGATATATAAAAAAAAAAAATTGATAGATCTTATTGATATAATAAGAAAAACAAATTTGACAGTCTTAATCAAGTGTTTATTAACTTTTCGATCTTCCAGTTTTGAATTATCTTCAAAGATACAAAAATAAAGCTACGACCGGACAATAATTATTTACTTATAAACAAGAATTTAAATTAAACTTTTTTTATACATATACATATATAATTAATTTAAGCAAAAAAAAAATTTCAATGGAAACAGAAACAAAAAAAAAAAAGGTACTATTTATAGTTAATCATAAGTGTAACTCTATATATTCATTAAAACTGGCAAATAACTAAGGCTAGCAAATGATTCCTATAAAAATCACATTAGGTTGTAAATATTTATACTTAGTTTGCATTACATTATTGATTTTTGTTATTATACTGTTATATATAAATGGAGGGTAAGCAAAATGGAAAGAATTAGAAAAAAGTTGTAAGACTTAAAAAAAAAAGAAAGAAAAAAAAAACGAGAACAAATATTACCTAAGTTGTGATTGTAAACAATATGTACAAAGTATATTTATTAACAACATTCTCAATAAATTTGGTTTCAATTATTGTTTATGATGTATTATTGTCTGTTCGTAGATTTATTTCTGTATTTCTGACGGTGATCCTAAATTAGAAGATCGAAACGTTAATAGTTATAATTCTCACTGCTTTTGAGCGTTACATACAGGGCGCGGCACTTAAAACAGGTCACCTGAATAACTTGATTACTTTTGATAATAAACAAAAACATTTCAGAGAAGTTTATTTTCTTAAGTACCACACCACATATAAAACTGTTATGATTAACTGGGAGTTCAAAAACACGTTGTATGATTCATTATATATGGAAGTAAGTAATCGTAGCTGTAGTAAATAAATGTTTTATATAATGCAATTAAATATGTACCTAGAGTATTATATGGTTGTAAAAGATCTGATTGCTGAGTTAAAGTTGTCCCATCTGTAGGTACAGGCGTGTTTGCATTTGAAAAGGAACTAACGGATGTGGGTGGCTGTGGTGGTTGAGGCACAACCGGTGAAGCTACCATAGAGTTTGTGTTTGTAGGTGTAACACTTGGTGGTGGAGTTGGTACAGACACTGACGGTGTTGGTGGATTAGATGTAGTAGGTGGTGGTGGTGTAGGCTTTTTTACAGGAGCAGCCGTAGCCATAGCCGTAGGTCGCGATGGTTGCGCTGGCATAGACGTGTGACTTGCTACAGGCATTCCTTGACCAGCTGTAACAGCTGCTACTGCCACAGATTGTTGACTATTACCACCTAATAAAAGTATTAACGTAAATGTTATTACCAGATAATTATAAATATACAATACGAAGTTAATAAAGTATCTTCAACGAAATAATATGTGACGTGCTTTAAATCGTTATACATTTTCTTACGTCGCAATTATATAAAACTAAATGAAATTGCTTTCTTAAGTTTAATCTATAACTGTCTATATTGTGTAGTACAATTTATTTTTTTTTATATGGAATAACAATGATTTATGTACATATAAATTGTTGACAATTTATGAATTTCACACACCTTGTTCTGAAGATATATTGCTAGACTGAGTTACAGCTGGCTTTACTATTGGTCCCGTAGAATTTGTTGGAGGTTGACTGTTCATTAAAAGACCTCCGGTATGATTCAATGTAGGTGCCTAAAGAGTGTACTATTAGTTAATATATCGCGCACAAAAATGATTTCTCTATGTACACCAGGAGGTTTGGATTATTTTTTGATACAAACTATGAAATTATTTCAAATATTATTCTTACGACACTAACGCAATATACCTTTGAGTGTAAATAGAACAAATATCTTATACAATGTTTATACCTTAATTATTATAATGTAAAGCATATAAATTTGCAAAATTATAAAACAAGGTATTTCGATTACAATAATACAATTGTTATTAGATCTTGCTTACAGATCTTACCGAAGTAACAGTAGTTGTTGTCGGAGGTGCTCCTGTACTTGGTGTATTCTTCTTTGTTTTCTTTCTTGGAGGACGATTGGTAGAGTTTCCTGTAATTCAATGTAACGTGCATCTAACTGTGAATATGTGCAATCAACCATTTTCTCGTTACAAGAGATAGATCGATGGAGATATAGTGAAATGCAGTGTGCAGAGGATACCAGCCATGAGTGTTGTGTTCGCCAAGTAAAAGATATAAAATAAATATTAAGTATATTAGAAACAAAATTAAAAAACTTCGAGCATATATTTTCTAATAGATTTTATTCATATGCTTATATTATAATTGTATCACTGTGTACAACAATGTTAATTTAAATATCTCAATTGTATGGTTTTTTGTGAACTTTCATCTTAATAATTTTTATATTAAAAAATTTTTAATGCGCAGAACAATTCATTCTTTCCTCATTCTACATAAAGTTAGTTGTATTCAATTTATTTATGAATAATTGTGTGTGCATATATATATACACACACAAATATATATATATATGTATACACATCATAAATACATACATACATACCACGCGCTCGCACATACATACACGCTTACGTGCTTGCAAAACTGCCATACATACATATATAGAATTATATATGTATGGAAGAGCACGATCTTTCTTTCTATAAGGATAATAATAATAATAGTAATAATAATAATAATAGTAATAATAATAAGAATAATAATGATTATTACAATAATAATCGTGACAGTAGCGAAAATGATGATTACAAAATGTTGACTACAAAAACCATCAAACTGCCTTCTTTAATTTTCGTACAGTGTAATGTAATATAATATAATTAATGTAATATAATAATAGAATTAATGCAAATAAAAGTCACGTAAATAGTACAATATGGACTCAACTTAAACATGAATGATACAAGAGTGTCACACTCGTACAAGTAGTTTGAAATGTAAATTCAAGTCGCAGTTAGCACAACATTGAGATCGGTGGCAAGATACTCCTGCTCGGTGTCAATAGTATTTATTATACCAGTCACAAGAAGCAACTCTAATACTATATTTAACCTGATTCATGCCCGCAATGAATTCATATTTATCAATGGAATGGTCAATAATAGATTATGTAATTCATGAAATGTACAATACAAGACAAAACAATTGCAAGAGGAAATAATGGTAAACTAAAAAACATCGAGTAGGAGTTCCAGCATATCTTAATTTATATAATATAGTTAACTGGACCACCAAATGAGCCAACCCCGACTCTTAAACGACCTCATAGAATTAATTTTCTGTTTACTTCACTCGTCTAGCTTTGTGTATGCATTTAAAAAAGTCTCCTGTGTGTCGTCTTCCATTTATAACTTACAGCTATTATTAATATTTTATGATATATTAGTCTTCACTATGTACAAATCGCGTATGCTTGTGTTATTGTTGCTATGCAAATTCGTGATACGCAGAAAACAGATGGAACGCTCGTGTGACTCTTGAAAGAAGAGATAATTAATGGTTTAAATAAAAAAGAGCATCCCAAAAGTATAACAAAATATCAAATTCGTTGAATCTGCTTTTGCGTATAACGATCTAGAAGGAAGAATAACGTTCCAGTCTGGATAAAGATGCGAAAAAATTTAGACGCGTGCTTGTATATGGAATAAATGCTACAAAAAATTTTGGAAGGCAATATTAATATTACATATTATAAAATGCCCTATACCTCATGTTACAAGCTAATGGTGATTGTATTTTAATAGATGCATAGTTTCTATCTAATTCAGCACACGCCATCAATTTGATCTCACATAGTCTAACTAAGTATTTGGAATTTTTCTATTTACTTTCAGTATTTTGGGAAACATAAAGTGATAGGATTACTCTGATCAACACTTCGTATCTACCTTAATACTTATAAATTTCCGTAGAAATCAACGAACACTTTTTCTGACCAATTTGTGGCTTTTTTTTTTTTCTTTTGGTAAAATTAGTAGTAGTTAATAATTTATTTCTCTACTTCTTTTGCTGGAACAGTAAGTACGCTGCTGACGGTACGATTAATGATACCATTAAATTGTACTGAGTGCGAATTTGATCACCTTTTTAATGTTCGCGTTATGCAACATCTCGAAACATGAAGTGCTTTCAGAAGCACCTTAGAATCTTATACCAGTTACGTCCATAACTTCTTATGTATATACTTTGCTATATATAAGAACTAAATTTACATGATATTTCAACAAAAAACGCTATCATGGAGCAGACATTTACACATAGAAATATAAAAACAAAATATCACTAAAAGTAACCTCATTCAAACTTGTATAAAAGATTTTCTAAAAATGTTTTAATAGGACGGGTTAAAATTAATATTACTTGAGACGCTTTTACAACATGAATACTTTGAATTGATAGTATGTATTATGCATATTTTCAAATCATATTGTTGAGAGAAAATCGAATTTATTATTAACAAATGTAATTATAATACAATTTTTATAGCAAGGTATGTAAAACCACACCAATCTACATACTTCATTGACATAATGATATTGATTTAGCAGAATGAAAATCTGTTAAAACTTCTGTTTTAAGTAATTCCAGAAATGAGAAAACTGACAATGGATACCAATGAAGAACTAGTGGTAAATAGAGTAATGAAACGACGATTAGCAAAGCTTAGCGGAGTGCAAACAATGTGTTTGGAGGCTAGGGTGCCTTGTTTGTATTGTAGACCATTTCCTTAACTTGCTTTCGTTCCTCTTTCCTCTATCATTCCCTTCTCTTTCCTTTATCTGCTACAAATAGTACGTCTATCTTTTCTGTCTGTGTCATTTATACACTCCCCTTGCCTTTCTCTTTCTCTGATATGTTAACATAAACCTTGTATGCTCAAAGTCATTGATCTTACAAAAAATAAATGGAAACTGTTTATTTGTATCACATATTACATTCTCCGCTCAGTTTATGTCTGCTTTGTAACTATTTTCATTAAAACCCACATATTTAGAGGAAGATTTAAAAATTCAGTTTAATTTCACCATTTCATCTAAGTAATATAATAATAGTGGTACTATCACACCAAAGGGTATTCATGAGATGATAAATCTTAATAATTGACTTTTTCAAAGGAAGCACCGCTTCTTTGGCTTTATCAAAGTAAACTTAGTTAAGAAATGGAAACAGTAACATGAGGTAATATCAGGTAAGAGCTTTCCAAAAAATATGTAAACTCTAAAATTATTTTGCGGAGACAGTAGAAACGCGAGAGTGTATCTAATTAGAACGATTATATTGACGCGAAAGCTGTGGATTATAGTAACCTTATAAAACGCTGATTCGCAAATCCAGCCACCAATACACATTGTCTGCATTTGTTTCCCGTGTGTATTATAATATCACTGCCTATTTGTTCCTCTCAAGTATTGACCATTAAGTCCACACAGTCTAGTCCGTGGAAACAAATATAGTGTTCAGAAGCCTAAACACAGTTCTCACGTCACTCAGGTAATAAGTGTATGGTTCACACTTAATGTAATAATGACGCTTGTTAATATCACTGTACTATACTCTGATAAATGATACGACATGAATGAACCAATGCGAGGAAACAAACTTAATGATTTAAAAAACACAGTGAAACAAGTAATGCTCTGCTTATCAATTAATGTAAATAAATATTAAGTTTGCAAGAGTTAATATATTGCATGATGTTGCTTGGGTTACGTAGGGCAGTATAATTGTCAGGAGAAGCTACAATGTATAAATCCAAGGTACTACCATTCGACACTACAGTCCCTGCTACACTGTGTAATTTATATACACATTGATGCAATTTTCTTAGGTACTAAGTAACCTTTGTTCATTCTCTTCAAGCGTCTAACCAATTTCAAGATATGTGTCCTTTAAACATTTAATAAAGCACGAGACTGCAGTGAGAAATTCAGTAACCTTGAATAGCAAACTATACTTGACTTTCGAGCAACAGAATGTATTGTCAACACCGACAGGGCAAGAGAAAATATAAGTAATCAGTTTTAATCAATAATATAATTTGTGAAACAAGCTGGCATGGCATATGGTATCCTCTAAACACAGTCTGCACTCCACTAGCTCACCTTTTTTTCTTACCATTGCATATTGTCTTGTAAATTAAATAGAAATTCTTTAACTGTGTCAAGTTTCAAAATTCCATACTCAAAAACATTTTTAGAGATACTTTCGTTTGAAAAAGTACATGCAGATTTAAGTAAATTTATCATGATTATGTGTCTATCGTTAATATAAACTTTACAATGAAACTTGACACGACATTCGTACTTGCATTAATATAACGCAGCACTTAAGCTACACGAATAACGCCGTCCTAATAAATACAATTAATAAGCAAGATTTAGCAGCTTAAGAAGATATTTGCGATGCATTTGTGCAGTCAAAACCCCCGGCTGAAAAATTTCTTTGTATCTACTTCACCACTGCGTACATTGCATCGGTATTTTCGATTGTTTCAATTGCCAATACAAAATTGGTTAGGCACAGAGTTCATATTATTTCTTAACTTTAAAGTCATCACCAAGTCATGGGGCACCAAATGTTATCATCATTTCATATATTAAACTACTAATTTCATTATATTTATATTCTTTTTAAATATTTCCCTTTTAAAATGTAATCTGCCCAACATTATTTCACTACTATTGTAACATATTTTCGAACTGTGACAATCGGTACATTAAAAATTGACACTGAAGCGTTACTTACTATTAGATATTTTCATTTGACAATTTGTGCACTACATCCGAAGCATTCATTTTATTATATTTCCATAGATCTTTTCTGTTGCACGCAAATTATTTCTAGATATAATAATATAATATTCAGAAAGTACTGAAGATTATCGGTATTCGAACAAAAGATGTAATAGAAATGTAATTTTATAGCAACTGAAAAGATATACATGAAGAAAAACATGCATAAACAGTGACATTCCTTCTACGTAATAAAATTAAAATCAAAATATTAAAAACCTTACTTTTTATTACCGTATAGCAAATACCCGCATGAAATGGTGAATAACTTCATTTAAAATAACTAGAAGATTCACGTCTATGATTTTTATACTTTACTTAAAGTGAAAGTTTACCGTTGTTCAAAACGAACGTTTTTACCTGAGAAATCAATGAGTATATAAACAAGTTTATATGTTACTACGAATATAGAAATAGAATTTATGAACTACTCTGCAACGTTATGAAAAGAAAATGAAATAGTCGAGAGAAAGAAGGAATATACATGTAATTCGAATGTTCGTCAAAGGTCTATAAATGTATTGTCTTTGTAATATTTCACAGCATAAACGTGATTAGAAATCTGTGCTCTATAGGACAAGTCAGTGGTAACGAATTTCACGTAAAATTTTGTCTAAAGCTCTCCGTTCCCCGAAAGAAAAACAGTCGCAAATAACCCCATAATTTTAAATCTCACAGAAAAACATATTTTCATGGAAACTACTTATAAATAAGTAGTTTATTGTTCCCAAGTAAGGGTCTAATAATAGCAACAGTTACATGAGGTTCATATCTAACCTGCTTCACTGTCGCTTGAATCACTGGAGCTCGAAGAAAGTGAACTACTGCTGGAGTCGCTATCGCTGCTACTACTGCTTGATGCTGACAATCGCGAAGGCCCACTAGCTCCTCCAGTACCAACTACATCAACTGATTTACTACTGTCCTCTGTAAAAAGCATTCCCAAATATTTGTAGAAATTTTTTCATTAAATTAGTCACAATTTTATTTCTTTTCAAAGACAAATATCACTTCACAAAACGGTTCAAGTACTAACCTTTCTTTGCTGTTTTCTTAACATTGCCTAATTGCCCCGTAACATCCTGTAACCTTTTTTCTAATTCCTGTTTTTTCTCCGCCATTTGTTCGTCCTTGGATTTACCACTAACTTTCTTATCTATAAACAGTAAACAATCAAATATGTTAATTCTTAAAAATATTTAAGTAGTTAATAGAATGTTTTTAACCGCTTTCACTATTCAATAGGACAAAAAAAAATGTATAGTACTTTAGATATACTTTTCACGTATTTTACGATAAAACTTTCGAAACGTAAATTCGAATATTTTGCCTCCATTAATGAAGGCAATAATCCTAGGAAAAAATAAATAGAACCTTATGTAAATCTTACGTGGCTTTTTTCTGAGACACGAGGCGACGTAACTCTCTAATTCCCTCAACGTGGATGGTTTTAGTGTTTCGAAGTCGATTTCAATCTCATCCGGATTTGAGTCCCTCAACGAAGGCTCTCGAGATTGTATTATGTGTACGACTCGTCCTAATTTATCTCCTATAATATAAAAATGAACACGTCGCTAATTCATATTTTGTTTATAGTTGAATGATTGGACTAATACATGGGCTATGTGTAAATTTTTATTGTAACAGTTTAACGTGTGGCAGTCATGAGCATAAATCCTTTACTAATCAGATACCAAATACAAAATAGTATCGATATATATCGATATATAACGAATGATATATCACAATTACAAAACCATTCGAATGTGCCCATCGCGCTAATATATAGAGCATATTTTCATGCTTAATATCACATATAATGAATTACTACTTACCAGGTAGTTTATTAATATCCAAACTAAGTTGCCTCTTCTCATCGTAAGACATTGGTTTAGCATTATCTTCATCCTCTGAATCAAATGTTATCGGAGGTGGTTGACTACTGGCACTCTTCTTTTTAGTTCCAGCTGATCTGCTATTCGCTTTTGGCCTCTTGTTTGCGGCATTTGCTGTTGTAGCTTTCCCAGGTCCTCTTCCTCCTTTCCCCTTTGGCTTAGCATTCGTCGCCGCTGGCAGGTGATGACTCATACTTCCTGTTGCATGAGTTTTATTAGGTCCAACTGTTATAGCCGGATGATGAAGATCACCACCCATAACACCAGGCATTTTCAAATCACCTGCTCCCATTGCAACACTAGCTATACTAGCACCAACACTATCAGAGACACTTGGAATCCCACCACTAGGTTTCATTAGTTCTTTCATGGCACCAGTATGACTGGCAACAAGGCTACTACTCTTATTGCTCATTGGCCTTGATTTCGACTTGTCAGGTTTCTTCTTTTTACTTTTCTTTTTACCACTTTCTTCTACCAATTTCCTCATTTGCTCCTGCATAACCTTCAGCTATAGGTCAAATTAATTTTTTGCATCAAACATACGAAAAATTAATAAAAAGAAAATAATTGAAAAACATTCCTATACCTCTTGCTGTAAAGCAACCAATTTTTGGGTACGTTCTTCGTCAGAATCGTCGCTTTCAGAAGAACTTTCAGATCCTGAACTACTGCCACTAGTACTGCTACCTTTTATGCCAACCATGCCTCCCATTGGTTCATCCGGAATTTTTGCATACCTAGTTCATTAAAAATTTTATTTTGTCAAAAAGAAAAGGAGGAGCAGATAAGCTTTATCTTCGATGTTCGTAAGAACGAACCTCATTTCAAACACATCTTGAAGTTTTCTAGCCATAGCAACCACGTCATGGTCAGGAGGATTATATTTATAACAATTGGTAAATATGAGTCGTACATCACCAGCAAACTCTTGTGCTGTTTTATATTCACGGTTGTCCATTTTTGTCTGTAAAAATAATTTTATAAATTATATATACGCTATTTTTCATACAGACACGTATAAAAGTAAGTAAGTAAGAATATTACCTTTACAGTACCAAGATCCATTGGTTTCTTGATTATGTCGTGATAATCGTGAAGACCTAAGAGTTCTGCATCAACTGGTTTGTAAAAGGGCCATGCATAACCCTATACATAATTAAAACACGAGTCATAAACGTTGTCTCGATATTTATGTTGTACTTATATAAAGCGAACAATTACCGAATGTTTCTTTGAAAACAATTCCTTCAAAATTTCATTGCAGGACTTTAAAGCTTCTGAAAGTTTTTCTTTCGACTTTCCAGTGGTATGTTGAGGCTGCAAAATAACACATAAATAGTAATTACCAAAAATTATGAAACTGCAGTTTCAAATGCCATTAAAAAAAATAAAAAAGAATAGCAGTTCATAAATTCATATTTACTTTGTATTGCGACCTACTAAATTAGGAAATATACAAAAAGAAGCATATAAATCAGAAGAATAAAAATATTTGCACGAAGTATTTGTTTACTTCCTTAACACGTTCGATACCACGTGTTATATATGGGTATCATATATAATCTCAAAATGAATTATATTATAATAATCGTCTATAAAATACGTTCGATCTCGGCATGATTAACATGATCAGCTACATTAAACAAAAATACTACAAATCTAGCGTGGTGCATGGTAGACGGTTTTCCAACTAAATGATAGTAGCGAACGCGTTAATAGAGAATTTTCAGATTATTCTTGGACAAAACAGTTTTGTTCGCTTGATTATGATAAGACAGCACAAATGAAAGGAAGGAGCATGAAGGAATAGTAATAAATGTACCTGTTGGGCCATTGCCCCAATCAGGGGCATGTTGGCCTGGAATGGCACTAAGCCGTCTTCCGCTTGCCTCGTTGGCTGAAACAGCCACGTTACAAACTCTTTGTTAATGCATTAATGGCTAAAATGATAATAGCGTGCAAAGAAGAAAATTACTTAAATGTATACAATGCTTCGGTTTATTAAAATTATTAAAAATTAATATCCGAATTGTTGAATTTGTTAGAATTTTACTACTATATTTAAGACGATTTAAATAAATATAAATATTCTTTGTCACGTATAAGATTTTTACTGACAGAAAATTTTCTAAGAGAACTTTTTTGTCGTAGGTACAAGTGATTAAATGATGAACAGGTTGCATGTTCAATATGAAGAGTGTATGGAAACACACACACGAATGTTTTAACACTTTAGAAAAGACTTAATAAACGAGTAACTTGTTAAACAAAAGAACATCATTTTTACCTTTTTTATTTGTCTGCCAGATTCTCGTCTCGTGGGTAATTTGGCATTTTTGGGGTCCAGTTTATATAAAGGTTCAAAAGAATTTGCAGTAGGAGTTGTAGTATCAGCCTTTCTCTTCACTCCCTTTTTAAGTTTTGCAGGTTGTGATGGAGGCATTACTGTGGGTGCAGTGGGAACTTGCGGAGGAGGGGGTACAGCAGAAGCTGCTTGTGGATCCATTGCTGGTTGTGCATGGTAACCGGTAGTTGGAGGGACCACTTGTTGAGGCAGAGAATTGTGTGTAGCCATGGGAGTGACTCCCATGCTTGATGGAGGAGCAATAGTAGTAGTGTTAGTGCTCCCAGGTACAGATGCAGGTGCTTGGGTGCCAAGAGGAGGCATGGGAATAACACCCGTTGTTCCAGCAGACGTAGCTGAAGGCGTTAGGCTATTTGGTACACTGGAAGTGACTGCAGCTGCACCAGATGAAGGTCTACCTCGACCTGTGCCTCCTGTACCCCCTGCTACTCCACCTACTAGTGCTCCAACTCTGCCTGCTTTTTTGCCTTTGGGTCCCTTTGAAACAGGAACTTCGAGTTCTACCTCGTCCTTTGGCATTTGAGCAACCTAGTAGTTCGTTTAATGGTTATTATATTATCACACAAACGTCTACACAAAAGCAATTTGTATAGTCTCTTTTAATCGAAGTATTAAAAGAAAAATTTGACTTTAAGTATTCGAAGTCAATAAAACCAATCACCGAAACAATGAGGTAAAATACTTCTACCTTCAACTATATTAAAAGAAGATTCTGAAACATAATTACCTTTGTAAGAAACAATTTTTCGAGGGCTTGTGCCATAACCACAACATCTTCCCCGGGTTTGTTGTAAACGTAACAATTGGTGAACATTGTATTGAAATCTTGAATACATTCTTTCCCGCTCCAATAATACGTATTCTCTAATCTTTTTTTGATTGTGCCGAGATCCATTGGTTGCTTTATAATTTTGTGGTAATCCTATTGAATTGTAAAAGTTAAATTAACCTTCACAATTGACGTAGTCATCTCATACTTTCTCAGTAATTCTACTTGGTTTACACGATTCACTAATAAAATACATTAAAACTTAAATGTTCACATACTGGTAAATTGAGTTTCTTGGCATCTACAGGTTGCTGAAAAGGCCACGCAAACTGATGTTTCCATACTGGCTTGAGCACACCCTTTTGGAGAAATTGTAGTTGATTGGTAACACGCCCTGGGCGATTAGGAGGTGGCACAACAGGTGGTTGGACTACACCGTTCACCGGCTCCACGGGTGGTTCATCACGTGGTGGTGGTTCCTTCGCAGGAACTGCTGGTGTAGTCGATGTCTTACCAGGTGCACTTGTCTACATTATCCAGATTCCATTTATATACTTTGTATCGATACAACTTTAGTTTTTTAGTTAGTTCTATTACTACAGTTATTATATAACATTAAGTCCACAACTGAAAATAAAATATCTTTTTGCGAAGCACAAAATCAGACCATTACCTCTTTTTCATGTAAAACTAATGCATTGAAATTGAAATTAAAATAATTATAGTACATAACTCATGCCATAATACTTTATTGTAAACTTAAATCAACATTTTATTCTTATACATAAGAACAGTAGTTATTGCTTTTGTTTAAGTAATTCTTAACAGTTCTAATATAAGATACTTAGAATAGTGCAGAGACAGAAGTTTAATAGTATCTATTTTGTAAAAATATATTATACAAATTGTAATTTCATTATGGTATATAAATTTCAAAGGTTTAATAAGGTTCATGCACTATAGAATTAGGTAAACCCACTCGTGCAATGAGCAAATTAGGCTGCTAAATATTTAGATTCCATAACCACAGGCAAGCAATTTAGAATCTCTTTTAATAGAATTCTAATCAAGTATGTAATAAAAATATTTATCACAAAAATATTTTCAATTGAAACGTAATGGCAACTCTAAGTCATTTCATACAGTCATGCAATCAAAATAGAATTAAAAATATATAAAATTAAGTATCATTAACTATGTAAGTAATCTATAGGAAATGTATACAAATTTTATGTTGTATGAAATGACTTACAAGCTTTTGACATCTATATCTTATGCATTTTATATATAATAAAAAATAAATGTACCAAGCAGAATATATCTTGCTTTAAGAATAATGCAAAATCATTAATTTGAATCAAAGTTGTCTCCTTTTTTTCATTATGTTTACGTAAAATCTCATACAAATATAGAAGCAAAATTGCAAATTTCTCTAGACACAAATTTGGAGCTGCCATTTTATATTTTTACCATATATATGTATATCCTAGTTGAAACAATACCCAACAAGGAATCTCACCTTCGGTATATTACACAGCCTTTCTCGCTCCTCCACATCTAACTGTAATTCATACATACCATTCAATCAAACAGCGCTCAGTTTCATTACATAAAAAAAAAATTGTGCTCAACATAATACCAGAAGTAAGAACATACACAATAGTGGTTTTAAGAAGTCTGATTCTTTTTTATAGTATAAACAGTTCAGAAGTAGATAGCAAACAAATTACATTACAGCATTGAGAGAATAATCTTTAGTCCAAAATTTTATATCTAATGTAAAAAGCATAGTGGGTTTGAATTTCAATGCAATTTGTGTCTATATTGAACAATTACACTTTTATTAGAAATGGTGTATAAACACTATGTAAATTACTACAACATAGAATATCTGTAGGGGAAAATAGAAGTGTTTTAGGGGATAAGAATTTTAGCATAAAGGAACAGAATAATAACGTGTCTTTATACGCTGTTTAATGTGTATAGACTACATGGGAATCATACAAAGGAAAAATGTTTAATTCGATGCAGCTTTTATGTATAGCATTAGTAGATTAATAAGCAAGCTGCGCTTGAGATTATACAATAGAATAGAATCTATTACTTACCGAATTATTTTGCGAGATAGTGTCCACCTGCTGCATCTTGGCTTCGTTTCTGCAACAGAAAAAAATAAACGTGTAAGAAAATTTTATAAACAAATACAAGAATGGTTAAAATAACATTCAGCACAAGGTTTTAAACCACATTTTTGATGAAATAAACTTTCATTATGATATACCGCTTACATATAGCCTATTTTACTTTAACACCATGATATAAACTTATAATATACCATATTCTGCATTTTTTTTTTTAGGGATTGGTAATCACTTTTCATTCCATCTCTTGAAATTGCAGGTTTCACTATAGGAGAGAGATGTCAAACTCTGACTGATATAATCAAGCTTCTTTTACACATTTCATGAAATAACTAGGTATATTTTATAATATAAGGCTCATCGAGTCCACGATAATGAGCTTCACCTACCTTTCCGACATATATGGTACATAAATGCTATGCAGCAGGTAACTGCCTTACGTTGATGCTTGACGCTATGAGGCTTCATCAACAATTGAGATGGCAAGGATATATTCTGAATCGAGCATGGTAGCTCACTAATTGCTTGCCAAGATGATTGCGCTGCAACCAGGGAGATTGGTGCCGTGGAGGCATAACACTACTCAAGCCTACCGAACGGTAGTACTTTGAATGTCAGCCCTGTACACTGCTGTGAGACTCCGTACCTCCAGCCAAGACTCGCGACATTAGCAACATCTGGATAACATAACAACAGGACCCCGTATTGTAACAACCCCAAATTGTTTTATCGCTTTAGAGCAAGTTAAACATTGATTTATTCTCAAATTATGTATATCCGCGTAAATTAATTAATATATCATGCAAAACCGATTCTATAAGATACATGCTCGACATATAACAATGTTTTTTTCTTCCACTTCACTATACATAAAGTGACAATATATAGCTGCTACTAAGTTGTAACACGTTCAAATTGCTCCTTTTAATCTGTTCCTTTTAGCAAATTGTTTATGAAAATTTTATAAATGAAAACTACATTTAATGAAACATCAATCAATATAGGCAAAATGCTTGAAACAATTTCAAGGCTCTTCTGTATTCAAGTAATACTAAGATATGATCTTTATATGAAATATAAACAAAGAACCAAATCTTTGTATCAACAGCATAAAGTGTAACAGAAGCAACTAAACTATAATTTTGTAGCCTATTATACAGCATTATATTACTAATCTTATGTCATTGTGAGTGGCATACAACAATCTGAGAAATACAAAGCTATATTAATATACCTTAATCTTGATTAAAATCTGCTTTTACATATCACTATCATATATGGTAATTTAATATATTTAGACATTCTACTTGTTTACAAGATCTTTAAAGCATAATGTTAAATGAGAAAAAAAGAACAAAGAGTTTCTGACAACGAAGTCACAAAATGTCAGGGAGATATATTTAAATAATGTACGTGAATACAAAAAGTTTAAGAAACAAAATGGTTCTGCCAGGAACAATGCGTTCAAAGCACAACACTTTTGACGCACAATAATATCTGAAATTGTGTATAAGAATCAACGTGCTATCCCTGTTCTGTTCTAGACCAGTATAAGCCAAAATGGAAAGTTTGACAAAAGTGGCACAAATAACTGGTACACTGGTATAGAAAGTGAGCTGACTATTAAAATACAAAATTAGCAATACACGGGGAAAAAATCGATCTCGCGGAAGACCATAAGATTTCGACCATGGGAAGCAAGAGCTTCCACCAGGTGAAGAGAAGCATTGCCAGAACAATCCATGCCGCGAAGACGTTCTATTCGTAGAGGTCCGAGTATCAAGGGCAAAGATAAAGAGTTTGCGGGTCGAACAGGTGCTTGGTGGTTAAATAGTCGTCGAAGTAGGAACGGAGAAAGGTGAAAGATCCACGAGAGACGATGGGTGAGAAATAAACGCGGTAGATGCGAGAGTGGAAAGAGGAGGAGGACAAGTAGGAGAGGATAGCGAGGGGAAGGGTAGCAGACCCGCGCCCAGCCGATGCACCCAGCCGACGCACACAACAAACACGAGCAAGCCGCCGTGTGAGAATCTAGTCGAGCGCTCGACTGGCGCCGAATTCGCAACGTTTTTCACATCGGACAATTCTGGCGCGCGCGGAATAACCGAGCCGCCTCTTCGGTTACTCGATTTCGAGTAGGTTTCAACATGGCGGTATGGCCGCTCGGGAAAGAAAGCTCCCAAGGGCCCGCCGCTACAGCCGCCACTTACGCACCACCACGGCACACACCACGCGCTATACTTATCATCAACAGACCCTCAAAGACCAAGAATACTTGTAATCACTTACCTGATCAATGGAAGTCCACTTTCCACAGGAATTCTATCGAAAAACACTACCACTACGTCTTGGACACTCGACTCAGCACTACGCTTTCTCCCTGCTCGCTAGTTTGGTTGGTCGGTGTTATGGCCGCCGCCGAGTGTGCCCCGCCGTATCACTCACTCACTCACTCTCACTCCTGCGAGCGCTCGGTTCGCATACGCGACGAACGCGGACGCGGCCCGACCAACTAGTTCCACACTTACGAATGCGGACGTCGATCTCTCGCACTAATATCGTATCAGTGCCCCGTGCCGAGCTCCACCGACATTTTTCTGGAGTCTCGTACAATCGGATGGCTTTCCGTGCCCATGACGATCTCGGATCTAGAAACTAACGATCGCAGCACCAACAATGGCTACGCATTCTTCCGCGACGTACCGAATGGTCCTGTTCCGTTGTTCCTCGAACACGACCTGTCTATCCATTCCCTTCGCAACTCTGCCAATACGAACTTTACCGAACTAAACCGAAGGGGAGAGCGCCAATTTTAAAACTGCCTAACAAACCGTATAAAATTCTCTTTAATTACAATTATATTGCATATATTCCACTATTCAATGAGTTTTCCTTGCAACTGTCACTGTTCTTTTTGATTAATTATTCTATGATTGTTTAACATTGTAATCAATGATTTTCTAATAGTATCTTTCCTCATGTAAATTTGGCTTGTCCCTTTTAGACGCATGTACGAAGTCGCGACCGTTAATTTAAGAACAAATTTTGTTTTCGTAACTTATTTTTTATTAATTTGCATATGACAATAGTGAAATATTAAGGATATAGGTAACAGGATACGAAATAATTACACTTTATTATTCATAAAACAAGATTACGCTTTATTAACCAATACAAAAATTAATGGTTAATTTCCATCGTTCCATGTCCACCCATAATGCATTTTTAAGATTATTGAAATAACGATTTATAAACGTAAATATTAATAACCACTGATTTAATAATAAACAAAATAAGTTTTACGAATATAAGTAGTTATTAATTTTCTTATTTGAAATATAAGGTTAAAATTTATTAATCACCGCGCAAGTCTCGGTCCAATTCCACGATTCTGCAACTATCTGCAATGCATTTTGGGATACAAACAAAATTTATAATTACATTGTATTTTCAGTACTAGCGCATAAATTCTTCAAATAATATCATGAATAAAGTAATAACTCTAAACGTAGGTAACACGTGGCGAACTTTGCGCGCGAGTTGAATGATACTCTGTCATGACGTGTGTGTCATCATCATAGCAAGTTCCGTTACTCGCCAATATGGCGAAACGTGAATAATTGACCTTTGTTTTGTTATGGCATTTCTGATAAAATACAATGCAGGAACGCAAAATAATCAAATTTCACAAATATCAGCGGTAGCACGTTCATGTAAATAATCCGATTAACGTATAAAATCCTATCAAAGTCACAAAGTAAATGCTGACGCATCAACAGATACTACACTCGTGACATTGACTACGGTAGTCAATTTGGCAATTTTATAATTTATCACTTGTATCACTAATAATTGTATTATGAGAAAAGCACAATTTAATGATAATACTGCTTCAATTCGAATTAAAGTCCATGGAGATTTGCCATCATGTACATTCGTGCAAACGACAATGCCACTAAATCACAAAATGGCGTCCCTTTGACGATTGTAGATTCACTTCTTAATGCTGCACGTTTTTAACAACAGTCACTCAGAAAGCAGAAATTGAGTCACAGAAACAATAGCTTTCAAATAAGAAGAAACGATATCGTATGATCTTTAAGAAACATGCTACGTTAAGGTAAAAGAGCGTACCGAATACTTGACATTAACAACCATTTTTGCGTTGATGACGTAATGAAATACGAAAGTCAAAAAAGAAACTAGATATTGAGGGCTCGATAGCGCGCAAGTTAGTATCCTTCCGGCCGCCATAGAATTTATCGCGTTCTAAGTGGTGATTGGTCTACACTCTTTGCGTCTTTGATGCGGACCAATCGTTTGAAAACCAATATTGATGAGTCATTGTGTTTAGGATTTTTCACTACATATTGCGCAACGACGTTTTCATCTCTCTTTCTCTGTTCTTTACGTGCGATGGTTTGATTGAAACTTATATACTGTTAGGGACGAACGCGTACAATTGAAAGTAAATTACTACAATAATAATTTAACATTTCCATGCAAATTTAAAAATATTTATTCTTCTTTCTTGTCGTACATTTAACAAAGTAATTTCCTATATAAAAATTAAACAGAAAAACATGTAAACAATACACGCAGTCAATTTGTTATTTAATTTATTCCCCAAACTTCTTCAAACGCGCTACACAATTTACTACATGTTAGAGCTCCAGATAGTGGATAATTACTAATAGATATAGTATCTTCGGTATAATCTGGTTTTACCTACAATGTGGAATAAAATAACAGAAATAAATTCAATTACAGGCAGACATGTGTTATGAACACAAAACTTACTTGTCCATGTGCCATTGCACCTATTACAATAGCAACTGGTTCCTCAGAAGGAACTAATTCTCGTGGATTCTGTACTTTATTTCCATTAAATGACATTGCTATTTTACGACATCCAACAGGTAAATGATTTGTGACTGGATTTTTAATTACTTTTAGCAGTTTCATTGGTCCATCAGATGCACGGACACTGTATTTATGTAACAATTGCACTGTGAATGACAAAAATGATCGAAATAAATTTTAAAAGGCACCCTGTTTCTTATACAACACCATTGTATTATATTATATTATTTTGTCTTACCCATAAGACCTGCAAAACGTTTAAATGTTCTGGGAATTCTAGTTTGAGGATTTATTTCTATCAATACATTTTTTTCAGTATGGACATATACTTGTAGAAGTCCAGCCCTGTTTAATGGACTATCCATTAACATTAATAAACATTGATGAGTAATGTCTGGTCTGCATGTACCATGTTCACGATTATTTTTCTTTAAGATGTTTGCATGATCATCACAGTTTAACAGTTCAAAGCTATTTTGAACCTGAAAAAATTAAGAAATATAAATTAAACATGAAAGCTACCATTACATAATGATTTACTACAATTACAGTGTTAAAAGAAATTTTGTTCCCTATTGAAAATATTAAAATAATAATAACGTAAAATAATAAAAAAGAATTTTTGTGTATATTTAGTTTACATGCATTTAATATTACACTTTGAATATATTTCTGCAGCAAAGAATATATAAGTTACGATAAATTATATCAGTCGTACAAGACTATTTAATAGAAAAATAAATAAAATTGTCGGAGGCAATGTAATAGAAATCTATTTTAAAATTTAATAGTAAAACATAACCATACTTTGACAGACTCCAGCTGTGCATTTTCCAAAATTACAATCAAACGCTTCTCTTGATTTTTTATATGAGCTATCTGTAGGTGTTTAGGATGTGGATCGTATTCAAAATCATCTTTTTCATTACGACTCTTACGTTTCTGTCCCATTTTTGTACGTATATTAAAATAAAACAAAACAATCACGTTAATATATACATCCCATCGATCCTCATGGTGCTGGACTTTGCATAGTAGCGCTGTTGCACATACCGGCCATGCATGCATTTAGTTCTATGTATGAAGAACAGATGTCATGACATTGCAGTTTGTATGGACACAGACGAGGGATACGAGCAGACCTTTCACCTAATGTACTCGTTCGGCCCATTTTTATCGGGCTCTAGAGCCCCATTACCATTTCCGTGTCACTCTCAACGTTACCAACAGATTTAGAAATGAACACAAGAGGAAGTGAGACAGAAATTTTATTATTATTTAACGGAATGAAAGTTGTACGGTCCATCATTGGACATTAATCGATTAATTTCATTGGAGATTTCAAGGTTATTAGAACACCTAAGGATGTATCTCATTGATACGAACACCAAAAATCCTCTATTTTTTATTTTAAATTGTAATACATCATTTATTTAAAAAATAACTCGGCAAAAACGCATTTGCGATTCGAAATCAGTCATCAGACCACGCATCGGGGGCCCCCCAGGAACTCCTCATTCCGCTTTCGCACACTATGCCCAATCGCGTGTACGTGAGCTCGTAGAGTTTCGGAAGAGCCGAGAAGAACAGGCTGACACTCGCTTTCTTTCTCGCTCTTGCATCGCTGACGTCGCTTACATTTCTCGAAAGTAGGCAGAGTTGCCAGAGAGAGCCCCTGGTGCACCGGGGACACCTCATTCCACCTTCTCACACTATGCCAGATCACACCTACGTGAGCTCGTAGGGTTTTGGTGAGTCGACAAAGGCGAACTGACACATGTCCTCTCTTTCGACTCTCCGAAGCTGCCCGAAGTACTTTCGGACCGTCTCGTGGGAGTCGAGAGAGTGCAAGGCTCACATTTGCCTTCTCGCTCTTGAACAACTGAAATCCGACCTCACGTCAACGCCATACGATTTCGAATCTCGACTGGCCACGCATTTTTACTTTTCCGATCTATGTAGGCTTCTTATTTTTATAATATGAGCAAAACAGAAGAATCAATTGTTGGAGACATTAATTAATAATGATTTTCTATTGACTACTGGTCTCTGCTAGTCTCTGCTGCCCTCCATTGCCATCTGTTGACCGCCACTGACCACTTCTGATACAACTGACAGCGTAAGTACAATGATTACTACTGACTTCTTCTTGCATGTGTCAACCTCTGCTGGGTCCTACTGACCACTGCTGACCTCTGTCACCAACTTCTGGTATGATGTACATGTATTAAAGCTTTGTACAATGTAAATCTATGGCAATAAGTGATATAATCTCAAAGAATTCTATGTGTTCTCATTATTTTGATCTTCCTTTCACCCCTTCGCAGCGTGTCGCCCGATACGACTATCGATTACAATCTGATAACTCGAGACTATTAATTGGCTAATCGGTAGATAAGAGCAATAGTCGTGAAAAACATTTTGAAGGTCGAGAAATTTAAATTCGAAGCTGTTACTTTTTTCAAATTAAAAATGTCCATCGACTTTAATGCCATTTTTTAAATATTTAACAAAGTACATCGAAGTTAACATAGTGAAATATAATTTTAGCCTAAAAATATTTTCTTTAATCGTTCAAATTGATACAAAGATTGATGCGTAGACACGAAATAGTTGTACATACCTATTTCTAGTGTATTCTATAATATTCTTTAAAAATAATTTTATTCTTACCATTGTTAGCATTCCTAAGCCAAGGATAATGATGCGATACGTTTCTTATCTTTTAAAAGCTCGGTCAGGTTGTGTTTACATTCTCGGACGCCGGCCTCTCGACTTCACCTTGGAGATGGACTCATGAATTCCTGATCTGCGTGACACTAACACTGTTGTTTTATGCGTCTATACTATGCATTGTCTGTGCCCTTAATCCCTGTGTTACGAAAAAATATCGCGTTCGGCGTCTACTTCACACTTCGTTTATGCCTGTAGAAGACTTCTTACCAAACTGCGTCAAGTTCAATGTTATCGACACCGCGTCAAAGAAGGTTGGTAATCTAGTGAGAATTAAAATAAATATCTTTAGAAAATTTAGTAGAAACAAAAGAAACTTTTATATGAAAAACTGATTGAAATTTAGTTTGAAAGTTAATACTTACGCATTATATGGTTATAATTAATATATTTTAATTGATCTAGTTATATATGCAACCAATAACAGATCGATATTAGATGAGCCAATGACAGCTTCTCATTGTGACGTCACAGGAGTATAAAGATTATAAATCATTAATTAATTGTTTGTTTGATATCTTTTTATATTAATTTTATTTTCTTCATGTCTTAATTTTATTTATTTTCAGTTCTTCGAGATATAAGGTTTAACCTTTATTTCGAAGATACACATCAAGAGTCGAGACGGACTACGTGACTCCCTCACCCCACTCCCCACTCCTCGCGCGAGAGACGTGTCCGATCCTGTTCGTCATTCTTCGTCTGGAAAGTGGTGTGAGAAGTGCGTTGACAGCTTCGCGTCTAATTAGGTACGTATTTTTTATTTTTAACCATTTCTATTCTCCTCGTCATTCTCCATCGATGCAATTATACAATATTAATAAGTGCATATTAACAAATTTGTGTTTTATTTCTGTAAGAGCCCGTAATTACAGTTCAAACACGGGACGCTCAACTACGGTCAAACGTATTTTTCATTTTTAACCGGTTCTCTTCTTTTCGTCATTATCCATCGATGCATTTATCCAATATTAATAAGTGTCTGTTAACAAATTTGTGTTTTATTTCTGTGGCAGCTCGTAATTACAATTTAACCACATGAGACTCTCAACTGCGGCCAAACTACGGTCACGCTGTAAACGCGACGCCATAATGCTTTGAGAGTTTGTGAACACGTTTCGACAGGAAACCTGTATCTATACGAAAAAGAGTATTTGGCGATGCCCACGTGCGAAAAATGTAAGTATCCTTTGTATTTTGTTCCGAGTACGCTTAAAAAAAATTGTTTGATTTAAATTTGCCATCAAGTTTTCAAATACGGTAGAAACCTTTTCGTAAAAACATTTACTCTTTCTTTCTAAAGGATCCTGACATCTCATCATCGTGCTTGTGGATCCGGAGAAACTCGACGATGATCTCGCTGCTGACCTTGATGCTGACTTCGTTTCTAACGTCGCTGATGACTTCGCTGATGACTCCTACTAGGCAACATCGTCGCCCGGGTGCTTGAATTCTACAGTTGGTGAGTCGCATGCTATTTTGTTTCCTCTGGTCCCCAACCATGTTGTAGGATGAAATATCCGAATCAACACGGGTGACCAGTTGTATATTTGGTATTTTTGACGAGTTAAGTGACCGCGGGTATGAAAAATACCCATGAGTTATATTTTTTTAGTGCAGGCTAGGGTCTTCTTGCACTCGCATTTTTTAATGTTATCAATAAATATTACACAATATGATCATTACACAATTTTGATAAAATATATGAAATATGTTTATTATCTTTATATGAATTAAATAATTGAGTAGAATATGAATTAATATAATGTGAAAACATTATATCAATCATATGATTGAGTAAAATATCTTACATCATTAATATAATTATTAAATATTCGTTTTATTAATTAATACATCATATGATGTATTTTATGTGCAAGGAGGCGTTTCGCGACTGGTCGATTTTCAACTCAAAGGAACATGCATGTTAATTTTATTTTTTTAAAAATTTACTTTGACGACAGAATCGACCAAGGTTAATTGAATATTTTGAATAATAATTTAAGAAATTTATTTCAATTTGCAAAGTAAATTATTTTATCATGATATCTTTATTAAAGTCTTACATTTTGAACAATTAAATTTCAGTCACAAATTTTTCTTGAATAATAATATCTTTCGATATTAACGTACTCTGTTGTTGATATATTACATATAACAAGTCGAGTCATTTTAACTGAGAATAGATACCGTTTAGTTAATTATTAATGACCAGTTGTTTTAGTCAGGATTTTCAGGATACTTTCCCGTGTTCGTTGCCTAAGTTCATGCACATGCCCAAGTGTTATTTGCACGAGCGAAGGCAACGGGGCACGATGACTTAGTTTGTAACATTTATAATAATAATTTATCCGTGCGACTGACAATGCTAGTGTCTCGTGCACGATGTACTGTCCACATATGTGTGTTTGTGGTTAGGTTGTGGAAGTGCATCGTATCAAAAGTTCATCACAATTCAGATACAGAATTTTTTGACATTAGATTCATAACAATCACAATAATAATATTAAACTTATGTTATTATTTACTTGACAATTGTTCGTATTGCATACACGTTGATAATATTGTAAAATGCATAATGAATTAGCTTTTCAATCTTATACATATAATCATATATAGAGTATATTTTAAGAAAGACTATATTAGATATATTAAAATGTTTTATATAAATAATAAAAGTACGCAATGGGCACTAGCTTTGTCAGTCGATTCCAGAAATGGTACGTACATTTAGAGTATGAATGAGGTTGTGTCCGGGTGTCGGAGGAACCCCGGGGAGTCCTCTCTAGTTTAGGTCGCGCCCGGACATTCAGAATGAGAACCGTGGAGTGTTTGTTTGAGAGACTGAGTTTTGCATTTTTTTAAATATAGGGTTAGGTAGGTAGGTAACTTATTCTCTGGTGTGTGTGTTTAAATCTAAGTAGGTAGGGTCAGGGCAGGACTGTCCACATTAGTAATTCGGGTAGGCGCGTTTTCGCGTGGCAGTTCTGTTCCTGTAGTTACGATTTCGAGGGTAGAAATCTTGCTGATTCAAACGGTGCACTTGTGCTGTTTGTTTCGGCTTTATTTTCGACTCCTCGAATCGCGCTACTCTTAAAGTCGCTCTCTCGCGCTCGCGGTCGGGATTAGGTCCCTTTCGAAACGTTCGTCCCGCTCGAGATTCACCACGTATGCTCTTGCAACAATTCGTATATTGTTGGAAGACTACGTATTGCACAAAATCTCGAGCCCGGTCTTTCGTAAGTTTCAGGCATCGGCAGGACCGCCGAAGAAAAAA